CAATATTTTCAAGGCCATGAGACACCCACCCAGCATAGGCAGAGTATTGTTGAGAGTGGGGAAAGCAGGGTTATTGTGTATCAGTAAATGTTGAGATATCCACAGGTACACCCCTAATTTGTGCCTAATTTCTCTCCATGCTATCAGCGTATCTCGTATTAGCAGATTGTGTTTTAGATGGGGCGGTAAAGACTTAACAATACAGTGTGTAGCAAAGCCTGTAGGCTGAATGGGTGTACCATGTCTCTTTCTCTAAGCTGTAGTTTGAATATCTGGATGCCTGGACCAGCCAATCTAAACACACCCTTAACAGACATGAAAGGTTATAAACTCTGGCATTTGGTAATCCTGATCCCCCCTCGCTCCTAGGGAGATGCAGTTTTGTGGAGGGCTATACGGGAATGACGGCCCTGCCAGAGAAAATTAGAAATTGCTTTGTTTAATTTCTGAATGTCAGCATGGTGTAACAAAAGTGGAATCATTTGAAGAGGGTAGAGGAGCTTAGGAAAGCTGACCATTTTGAATAAATGTGATCTCCCCAGGAGCGATATTGGTAGCGGTTTTCCACGTCTAATTCCCCTATAATTTTATTTATGACTGAGGTAAAATTTAACCGGTAAATGGATAATGGGAAATTCCCTATTTTGAAGGTGAAGATTGTGTTAAGCGTCCATGGGGGGGGGGGGCGAGGATAGTATAGACGTAAGATTTCGCTTTTTGCAAAGTTGATGCGTAGGCCTGAGTATTCTTTAAATTCTGAGAAAACCATTAGAATATCATCTGCAAACAGGGCAATGTGAAGGTCCTGTTCACCAATATTGACTCCGTTGATCTTGGAGATAGAGATTAAAAAACGTGCCAGGGATTCCAAAACTAGGTTAAAAAGGAGGGGGGACAGAGGGCAGCCCTGTCTAGTTCCCTTATGTAGGTGAATGGAGTTAGAGGTGCGACCAGCAGCAATTACATTTGCCGTAGGCGCAGTGTACATGGCTGCAATCAAATGAGAAAAGGGGCCGAAGAAGCCAAATTTGTTAAGTACCATGTGTAGCCAGGAAAAATGTACATTGTAAAAAGCCTTTTCTGTATCTAACGAAATTATGGCTATGTCTTAACTCAGGTTAAGTTTTGCATGTTCTAACACCGCCAGGACCTTTCGAATGTTGAGGCGCAGAGCGACCTTGTGTAAAACCTTTTTGCGAGGGGTGGATGGGCTGGCCAGTCTATTAGCTATAATCTTGGATAAAATTTTAGCATCTAAATTTAACAAAGAAATTGGATGATAGGATCCTGGGTCAGATGGATCCTTTCCCCTTTTCATTATTAGTTTTATGTGGGCTTGAAAGCGGTTGGTAGATAGGCACACCCCAATTGTATGGTTTGATAGACTGATAAGAAGAGTTGGAGACATGAGCTTATCTGTCAGTTTATAGAATTCCGAAGTAAATCCATCTTGGCCCGGCGCCTTGCCATCTGCCAGAGAGGTAATTACAGCATGAATGTTTTTTGAGGTAATGGGAGCGTTAAGAAGCACCAAAGCAGCCGGGTCCACCCGAGGAAGAGAGAGACGATCAAGAAAAGAGCCTCCGGATTGTGGGTCTATCGGGTCGGGGCCATATAAACTGAGCATAAAACTGTTCTAAAGTTCTGATTATCCCTTCCGGGGTGGTGTAAACAGAGCCGGTTGAATCTCTAAGGGAAGTGAAGTGCGTGGGCGAAAAGAGTTTTTTGCATAGTCAGGCTAGTAATTTTCCTGGCTTATTTCCAAACTTATGGTAATGAAGGTCTGAATATGATTAGTAAGTGACTTCCTGGGCTTTGGACCACTGATCAAATAGGCTTTTGGCTTCCGATCAGAGTTTCCTATTTTCGTGGGTATTCCTATCTGCTAGGTTGGCCTGAGCAATCCTCAGGCTATTGCTTGCCACCTGAAAGTTACGAGAGATATGTTTTTTGTAAGAAGCTGCGAAGACAATTATTTTACCCCTCAACACTACTTTGCCAGTTTCCCAGAATAGGTTGGGGTTGGACTTGTGGGCATCATTGGTAGCAGTGAAATCCTGCCAGGTGTCCGTGAGCACCTGAAGGAGTTCCTGGTTGTTTGCTAGGTAGGAGGGGAAACGCCATATTTTAGGGGACTGTATGCTAGGTGTATAGATATTGGAGCATGATCCGAAATAGCTATATCGTGTATTGCTGAACTATTAACAGAGTTGAGTATAGTAGCATTACAAAAGAGATATATTCTAGAAAGGATATGGTGAACTGGGGAATAAAAAGTATACTCTTTACCGTCTGGATGGAACAGCATCCAAATATCAGTTAGTTGTAACAATTCCGTAAAGTGAGAAAGCAAGGAGGTATTGGGCGAGTGACCTATGGAATCTGTAGTGAATTTGTGTGCAGCTGCTTGTCTGTCCTCCCTCCCGTTCATGAGGGCATTAAACTCACTACCCAATACAAGAGGGAAATGTAAAAATCTGGATACCCTGGATGACACTAGTTGGAAAAATGGCTTAGTGGGCGAGTTGGGGGTGTAAATATTTGTAAGAACTAGTGTGTTGTGACCTATTTTGACCTGTAAGATGATCATACGGCCATCTTTGTCAGTTTCTGTAGTTATAACATATGCTAGTAAACATTTGCTGATAAGAATCATTACCCCTGCTTTACCTCTAACTAAGGGGGAGCCGTGAACCTGACCTACCCAGAGTTTTTTCATGCTGGCAAAGTCATCATCCTGGATAAGGTGTGTTTCCTTCAAAAGTGCTATATCTGTTTTAAGCCTCTTCAGTTGGCGAAGTATTGCCATTCGTTTGTGGGGGGATCTCAAACCCTTCACATTCCAAGAAGTTATCCGTACCATTAAGTCAAGTCATATACAGATCTTTTAAAACTGTAGCATAATGCTAAACTTGTTATCTCCGCCCTTTTCCACCTCCAACCTATAGCCTTGGGGGCTAGTAGCGGTTTGTTAGGTAAATTAAATATTTCCTGGTTAAAATGAGATGAGGAAGAGTGGAGGTGAAGAAGGCAGAGAGAGAAAGAAGAGGCCCAACAGGGGCACCAGAGAATATTAATAGTTAAGAAAAACCATTGTGGTATCAAGGACCTAACATTTTTCCACATGTAACACTTATTCTCATTCGGCATTACTGGCTTGCCTAGCTGATGAAGCATCGCTGAGAGATGGGCAGAAGAAGCCGGTCATAATCTAGGGGTTCACTAACCCCAGATAAGGGAGGGTACCAGCTAAAACTTCGATGCTGGATGAGCTAGGATGAAATAATCTTAGGAGGAGGGTACAGACCATCCATCCCACCTATCAACGTTTTATCATCAGAACAGCCAACAAAGGTCATAAATGTATACCAAGCTATCATATACTTGCGTAACACTGATGCATTTTATATTGCCTTAATTCTGCAGTATAGAGTACTTGGTAGAGGGACTAGAGGATTAGACATGGCAATAAAGTAGAGGTGAGAGTTATGGCGGCCTGAAATTCCCTAGGGTGCGTGTTGTACGTTGGCGTTTTTTTGGGTCCTTGCGTGGGCTGCATTGATCTCTGGGTCCCGGGGTATGAAGAGTGTTTGGCACGTTCCTCGCTTCGGAGGTGGCATGTAGATGCGTTTGCGTGTATTCCAATACTTCCGAGTGAACAAAAGATTTTGGCACTCCTGAAGGTGTCATTAGCTTCAATGTGTTGGGTTAGGCTAGAGTGAATTTTTATACCGTGTTGGTGGAGAGTTGAACAGATTGATTGAAAAGCCTTACGCTTTTGCGAGACTTCCTGCAAGTAATCTGCAAAGAGTAATAATTGGCAGCCATCAATTTGAAGTGAGCGGGAATTGCGAAAAGACGTGAGGAGAGCCACTCTATCCGCATAATTGAGATATTTAGCTATTATCGATTTTGGTGAGTGTCTATCGTTAGATGGCGAACCCAGACAATGAGCCCTTTCTACTATGCAGGGCGTATTGAGGCCTAGTGCAGCCGGGATGCGTGCTGAGCAGAGATCCATCAGGGAGCCAGCATTATACGATTCAGGAAAGCCGACAATTCTCAGGTTATTCCTGCGTGTGCGATTTTCTAAATCATCTATCTTTTCCAGGATGTGCTGCTGTGTGTGTGCCATTTGCAGGGCTCCAGCATGAGACACGTGGGCCTCATCCTCTAGATCTGATATACGGTGTTCGGCCTCTGACAGGCATCTGCCATGATCCCCCAGCTCCTTCCTTATTTGATCAATACCTGAAGATACTGCGCGGTCTACTCCTGCGGTAATGGTGGGTGAGAGAAGCATGGCTACTGCCTGCACAATGTGATCATACTGGTCTTCTGAGGATTGCAGACCTGAGGGTTCCGATCCTGGCTAGAGCACCTGTGCAGCAGTGCATGTCTCCATGCTGTCGGCCATCTTGGCTGCAGCAGAGGTAGAGTCGCACGTGTTGGGTCCTGGAGCGGTTACAGGACCAGAGGGTGTCGGGACAAGGTACCGCTCCATACGTGGCAGGGTGTAGGAGACAGAAGGGGTGTCTGGAGGGGTGGTGACGGGTGTCTCAGGAGCGTGGAGCAGGCTTTGTATGCTGTGTATGCCGGAGCTGCCGAGTCTTCCTTCCTTACATGTGGCGCCAGAACCGGAAGTTGGTAAGGGATTTTAAGGGCAACTACATGGGATACTGAGGTAATATACAAAGAGCTTTATTTAACATAATAGGATAAAATTATACAGTTTCACCAGTAGATAAAAAATATATATTGATGGCTATATTTCTTAGAACACTGGAAACATTACTTTGTGTGAGAACATCCTCATTTAGGTGTCTGTTTAACCACCTCCCGCCCGCCTTATAGTACAATGACGGGCACAAGGTGGTTCTCTCGTTCTGGGACGACGTCGTATAATGTCGTTGTCGTCCCATTCTAACCACGCATGTGTGGCTCCAGGAGCGCGCCGCGTGGCGATTGGTGGTGCGCTGTGTCCCTCGGACACAGCGGATCACCGATCAACAGAAAGAGCCGAAGATGTCGGCTCGGTCATGTGATCAGCTGTGTCCAATCACAGCTGATCACATGTAAATAGGGAAGTGCCAGTTATCAGCATTCTCTCCTCACGAGCTGTCATGCTGACAGCTCGAGAGGAGAGAGGAGAGGAGAGGAGAGTCGGTAATCGGCATCCCTCAGAGAGGACATGTGCACTGATCATCAGGGCACTGATGATCAGTGTGCCCTGATGATTTGTGTAGCCCCAGCAGTGCCACCTGTCAGTGTCCATCAGTGCCAGCTGTCAGTGCTCATCCATGCCACCTGCCAGTGCTCAGCAGTGCCACAACAATGCCACATATCAGTGCCTACCAGTGCACATCAATGCCACATATCATTGCCCATCTGAGCTGCCTTTCAGTGTCACCCATCAGTGCCAGTCAGTGCCACCTATTAATGCCAGTCAGGGCCACCTATCAGTGCTGCCAATCAGGGCCGCCTATCAGTGCCAGTCAGTGCCGCCTATCAGTGTGCATTAGTGCCTGCCTATCAGTGCCCGTCAGTGCCACCTAACAGTGCCACCTAACAGTGCCAGTCAGTGCCACCTATCAGTGTCAGTCAGTGCCGCCTATCAGTGTCACCTATCAGTGTCGCCTATAAGTGCCATATATGAGTGCTGCCTTTCAGTGCCCATCAGTGATGCCTGTCAATGCCCATTAGTGCCACCTACCAGTGCCTCCTCATCAGTGCCCATCAGTGCCACCTATCAGTGTCCATCAGTGCAGCCTATCAGTGCCCATCAGTGCAGCCTCATTAGCTCACATCAGTGAAGGAGAAAAATCACTTATTTACAACATTTTATAACAAAAACTAAGAAAAAACTTTATTTTTTCAAAGTTTTCAGTGGTTTTTGGTTTGTTTAAGAAAAAAATAAAAAACCCAGAGGTGAATACCACCAAAATAAAGTTCTATCTGTCTCAAAAAAATGCTAAAAATTTCATATGGGTACAGTGTTGCATGACCGTGCAATTGTCATTCAAAGTGTGATAGCACTGAAATCTGAAAATTGGCCTGGGCAGGAAGGGGGTATAAGTGCCCTGTAGGCTAGTGGTTAAGAAAAGAGAGAAAAGCCGAGATTCTGATGATCACATCTGATCTCTCAGGTGTGCCAGTTTATGGAGCTGAGGTGAGGAGCGGAGAACATTTTCTTCACTTCTCATCACAGGACACACCCTTCTGTCTTTCACTGTTACAGAGATGGCCAGTTTTATGAAGGTGAGATCTGAAGATCTCACTGGCAATCTCTTTAACCATTTGCCGCCGCCCTATGCCGAATGGCGGCCGGCAAATGTCATCAGCGTTCCGGGTGGACGCCATATGGCGTCCTGTCATCGTCTCCCGCAGAGCCGTGGCGTGATCTGTCAGCGGCCGTGTACCTCGGACACGGCCGATGACAGATCTGAGTATCGGCCCCCCGTTGCCGGTACCATGTGACCTGCTGTGACCAATCACAGCAGCTCACATGACAATTGTTTACAATGGATGCTTCATTCATGCCATCCATTGTGAGTGTCTAGCTGAATGGTCACAGCTAATCACATGCACATGCAAATCACAGCCAAATCACAGCTAAGCACAAAAAAAAAAAAAAAAAACCCTGAATCAATTGATGTCATTCAGGTAAATGCTTGCTTATAGCAAAGTAATTCTTTGCTATAAGCAAATTGTGTAAAAAAAAAAAAAAAAATACTGATCACTTCCCCAAAGTAGTACAATGTTACTATGGTAACATTGTACTACTTTGGACATAGTGAAATATGAAAAAAAAAAATCTTAAAAAAAAGAAAAAACTTTTTATAAAAAATAATAATAAAAAAATATATATATATATTTTTTTTCATACTTTCACCAGCCAGTGTCCCTGATCACCACCATGCCAGTTATATGATGACACTGTACTGCACTGGTGACAATATGTAAAAAAAAATAGTGAAACTAATTTTTTTAAATTTTTTCATTTTCCGAAACATTATGACAAAAAAAATACAAATTAAAAAAACTCGCCATTCCTCTTATGAAGTATGTCAGACTGTCTACTTTGCAAAAAGGGGTCATTTGGGGGATATCTCTACTGTTCTGACATTCCTGGACCTCAAGAAATTAGATTGGCTGTCAGTACTTCAGGATTGATCAATATTCAGATCTATACCATAGTTTGTGAACTCTATAACTTTCCTACAGACTAAAAAATACATCATAATATGGGTTATTTTTCACCAAAGACATGTAGCAGAATACATCTTGGCCTAAATTTATGAAAAACAATTATTTATTTGCAAACTTTTATAACAGAAACAAACAAAAAAAAAGTGTGTTTTTTTCAAAATGTTTGGTCTTTTTTTGTTAATTTAGCAAAAAATAAAAACCCCAGCGGTGATTAAATACCACCAAAAGAAAGCTCTAGTTGTGTGAAGAAAATGATAAAATTTTAATTTGGGTACAATGTTGTATGACCGTGCAATTGTCATTCAAAATGTGAGAGCGCTGAAACCTGAAAACTGGCCTGGGTAGGAAGGTGTAAAATTGCCGGGTATTGAATTGGTTAAAATATCTCCATCCCAGATTCTCCAGCCCAGTGCTGGAGAATCTTGGTAAGAAGCTGCTGTGATGTGAGGAAGAAGGCTTCTTCCTTCCTAATATCAGCACCAAAGAGGTTAAACATTGATATAAACTATAACTATATATGTTTATGTATGTATATTTGTTTTATATATAGTATACACTATATATATATATATATATATACACACATACACATACATAATTCTTGCCGCAATTCTAAATTGTGTTAAGATATGTAGTGTGCCTTTGGGTGCCATTCATTGTTAATCACACCTCAAATGCTGTTAGCAGACATGCATTTAGCCATTTGACAAATACACTATCAATGCACCAAAATGCATACTGAAAAGACACACAACACTCCATGCACAAAAAAGGTTCAGTTTGGCTTTTTTGGGTGTTTTTAATGCACATTTTGGTGCAGTTTTTAACAAACAATTTGCTGCATTTTTCAACACATATTTTTTTTTTAAAAAATGTGAGTTTAAATTTTTATGTGCATTTTAGTGCTTTTTTTAACATGTATTTTGGCTAATGTTTTACCTACGTTTTTGTGTGTTCTGGAAACACATGCAAAACGCATGTCATGTTTGCAGTGCCATTATTTATTAATGGCACCCAAAAGTGGCTAGCAGATGTGCAGTCTGCCAAAATATGCATAAAAACCAAATCAAAGTGCACTTTATAAAAGTGCCAAAATACGTGCTAAGAAAATTGATAACATGTGCATTATTTACCTCACCAAAATGCATGTTAAAATAACCTGTGCCAAAATGTGCGTTAAAGTGCCTAAATATGTATTTAGAAAAATGCCAAAATGCACATTAAAAAACCCACGTCAAAATGCGTGTTAAAAAAATACAGCATGCTAAAAAATGGCAAAATGAACGTAAATAATGCTAAAATGTGCATTAAAAAAGGAGCAAAAATACACAGTTAAAGAATGTGCCAACATGTGCGTTAAAAATACCAGTGGTCAGTCCTTATTATTTTTCATATAATTGCATGGTCTTTTTAACTTTGGTTTTACTGTTTAAACTCAGGTGATCTGTAATCACACAATTATCTCATGAGATCACATGCAGCCCTCCCCCTTCTCCTCTCTTCTCCTTCTGAGAACAAATGTTCTCAGCTTCATAAACAGGGGAACAGAGAAGAAGAGAACTGCAGAGAAATGAAATTAGATAAATGATCTCTGCTTAACAAACGTACACCTTATTCCACTAGAACTTCATCCGTGGAATACCTGATGCGTTTCAGAATACTTTCTTTCATCAGGGGTGAATTATAGAAAAGGATGGTGTAGATTAATTCATCCTATGTACATACATGTCCTATGTACATACACTGGAGTTACAAATAGCCATAGCATAATAAAACCAGTCTGCCAATGTCTGCCAACACCCACAGAGATGATTGAATGTGGAACCTCCCACTGGTCCAGATGATCCCTGAGCACTAAGGTCGCTGTAGAGCAGACCCAGCCAAGCTGAGTATAGGATCAGACTAGTAGTTGCAAGGAGCTTAATAGTTGAGAAGTGATGGTATCTTGGGTCCTCACTGGTATACAAACATGTGTCACTGTAGGTACATTGAACCTCCATGATCGATTCCACACAGCAAAATAACACTGAGCATTGTTCAGGCATTTAATGCAAGCCTTTCTTCCTAATATTGGAAAGGCTTTAGACCAGTTGTAATAGTCCTCAGTATAAGCTGAAGTAACAACCATTCATAATCCTCTTCTTTCCTATGTTTCTTCCCTTTCTCCCATTTGTCAATAGAGACATGCTTCAATGACAGAAGGGTGAAAATGTTGATATGCTTGTGGGCAGGGTCTACTCATCCTGTAGATGGGGACTCTTCATGAATGTGCTCACTAATGCCTGGGTCCAGGCGGGGTCGCTGTCAGGTGTAAACAGCATTAAGGCAGCGCTCTGTATTTAGAAGTGAGACGTTCACAGTTGCATATTAACGTAGAGGCTCCTGTACTGTGAAACACTCTTTCCTGTGACACTGTGCATATTAGGGTTGGTTTACTAAAACTGAAGGGTTGAAAATCTGGTGCAGCTGTGCATAGAAATCAGCTTCCACTTTTTTTTTTTGTCAAAGTCTAATCGAACAAGCTGAAGTTGTAAGCTGATTGGCTACTATGCATTTAGCCTCTTTCTCGCTGCACCAACCCAGCTTTCCTACCACCTCACTCCCAGTCACAGAGTAGGAACCTCAATGCATACACAAATTAATTCCTTCGGCTCTCCCATACCTGCGGCTAGGTCCATGGAGTCTCCTTGCCACAGTTTCTGTTTTCGAATGCTGTAGAGGCACACTAACCAGAGAACCATGCCTGGTACCACTGTCACATACCTGAATAGTGAGCCTGACAAGAAGAAGGCCTCTCATACAGCTCCGGCTTGAGGGCCAATGGTAGTTGAACAGTAGCCATTGGAGCACGATGAGGTAGGAGTGCCTGTGATCAGTCCAGTATTATGTGTGGCAGCAGTAGTCAGCAGGTAGGTGTAGTAGCCAGACAGGCTGGTGGCAGATGAGCTGGCACGGAGCTTGGGTTGACAGTAGACTGTGGGTGAGCAGCAGGAAGTAGAACCCAGCTTCAGAATTGCTGGACTGAAGAGCTGTAACAGGCTGGATGAGCAAGCTGCGGAGTTAGGTCGGTAACAGTTGGGCAAATCAGGCATAGACGGCAGACAGCAGAATATTAGGGTCACGAGCCAGATCAACAGCGGAGGATCAGTCAGGAAGAACAGGAGGCATAAGCAGAATCCAAAGGCAAGCTGAGGTCAGGGCAGGTAGCAGACAAATGAAGGTCAGGAACCAGCCGGGTCTGGATCAGAGGTCAGGCACAGAAATCAGAATTAACACACACACAGAAGCTGTAGACCAAACAG